TGGAGGAGGAGGAGGAGGCGGCGGCGGCGGAAACCACAACTACTACGGCCGGAACCCGCAGCCACAGCAGCAACACCACTACCAGCAGCAGCAGCAGCACGCGCATAGGAACTCCTTGCACCAGCAGCAGTGGCTGCGGCGAGACCAGGCCCCCGCCGTTGCGGGGGCAGCGTCCGGAAACGCTGCGGCTAAAACGGCGCCTCAGCTTGACGCCGTAGACTCGAGGTACTGCTTTTGCTTATCTGCACATCTCCTCTGGTGAGAACCATATTTGTAGACTCTGCTTGGTGCTCTGGCGGTCTCTAGGGTTTGTGCTTTGTTTTTTAGATGTTGAGGCGACGGCATGCGGGGTGTCGGAGTGATTTTGGTCGCTTCATTGGTTACATTAGTTCTACTGTTATATCATGCTGACGTGAGTTAATGAGCTTGATGATGCTGACTATCCTTTGATTATCTCATGTTTCTGGAAAAAAAAAGAAATACAACCATTGCTGTAAAAATGACTATTGCCGTTGTGAATTTAATCTGCATTTGTATTTGTTTGTCTTATTACAATAGCCTGCCTTCATCTTGTGTTTTTCTATGTATAAGCGTGTGATTTTGACATTTTTGTTTATCAGTTGCTGCTATTCTCTACTTACCCATTATATAAATGATTCACTTGGCACTGTATTGGATTCAGCACTGGCATGTCATGATGCTAATTAAACTTTATCTATTACTAGCATCATTAATGAGCCCTTCATTTGTTTGTTTCAGTTCTCAAGATTGGAAGGCTCAACTAAATATACCAGCTCCAGATACACGCTACATGACAGAGGTGAATTTTCTTTCTAATACTTATTATCTTTCTGTGTTCAAGTATATATGCACAGTGCATCCTGGTTCCTTTGAATGGTTTCAGAGTAGTTTTAAATGGCTCCCATTTGCATACATCTACAAGCTATTGATATTTTGCCTCTGATATTTGTGTCGTCGTACACAGGATGTCACTGCAACAAAAGGCAATGAGTTTGAAGATTATTTCTTGAAACGTGAACTGCTTATGGGAATCTATGAAAAGGGATTTGAAAGGCCATCTCCTATTCAAGAAGAAAGCATTCCTATTGCGCTGACTGGAAGTGATATTCTTGCAAGGGCAAAAAATGGTACTGGGAAGACTGCTGCATTTTGCATTCCGGCACTTGAAAAAATTGATCCTGAAAAAAATGCTATTCAAGGTGAATTATTCTTTCATACATTCAAATTGGAATTGAGCATATGGAGTCATTTTTTTAATTACTGCTAGCTTGCTACCATAACATGAACAACTTAACTGGCCACAAAATACAAGTTACTGTTTCACCAGTTCCTCTATGTATCCATTTGTTCTCTATTAATATTATAAGCCCACTGAATTATTGTTATTACTTATTACTGTTGGTCACGTTGATGATTCTGATATGGTGAATGAACCAGTCCTTTAATCTGCCTTCCGTATGTACTTCCTCCATCCCCCAAAAAAGTGTAGCTATGGGTTCCGTGCAGGTCAAACATTCTTAAGGTTTACTGGATTTATAGATAATATTATTAACATTTATATCTCCAAATAAGTTTATTGTGAAAATATATTCAGCAATTAATCTAATGACATTTATTATGTACTATAAATATTGAAAATTCCTTATATGTATTGGGTCATAGTTAAAAATGTTTACTCCTCGGGAAGTGAGAATGACACTCTTTGTGGGACGGAGGGAGTATTAGGCAAATCCACATTCTTGAAATTTTGGTGTGTTGTTTTTATTGACGTGAGAAATAATCACAAAAAAAAATTTGGTACTGATACTAGGTATGAAATGTAGATTTTTTTGTGGAAAATCAGATCATTTGCACTTTTAGCATTCTACTATGGCTGTTTGACAGACTGAATCTGTAATAGACTAATAGTGCAACAACATTCTACTTTGTTGATCACTGGCGCCTTTTCAAAAATATGTGTTATGGATGATGTTTATGTAGTGCCAGTTTTACTTCCACTAGTGAATTAGTTCATAGTTGGGTTTCATATAGTCTCTCTTATTTTTGTTTTCTGGTTCTGTTGGTCTTTTCTTCAGTTGTTATACTAGTACCAACAAGGGAACTGGCTCTGCAAACTTCACAAGTTTGTAAAGAGCTCGGGAAATACCTGAACATTCAAGTTATGGCTAGCACTGGAGGAACCAGCTTGAAGGATGACATCATGCGTTTATACCAACCTGTTCATTTACTCGTTGGTACTCCTGGCAGGATACTTGATCTTACCAGGAAGGGCATTTGCGTGCTGAAAGATTGTTCAATGCTTGTCATGGATGAGGTATAATTAGAAACAATTACACTTTTTTTCTTGTGCTGTATATATTTTATCATAGCTACACTGGTGTTCTTTTCACAAAGTCTCTCTCCCCCATTTGATTTACGCTAAATCATGTCACTTTGCTATATGATGTTGTGTTCCCTCACTGAAAGAAAAGAATCTGAAATTGCTTTTGTATCTCGTTTCATCAATTTTACTGTGATGTTGACCGCCCTTCCGATTATGCTCCTGATGCTAACATTGGTCTTGATAATGCACACTTGTTGTTACATTGCTCAAATAACATTTCAGAACAATGTTGTTCTTGGAGTACTTATATGTCTTAATTTCTACAATTCGATGATTTGCGGTTTTGTGGGTGCATTTGTGCCTTTAAAGTGTGTTCATGGTTTGTTTTTGATAATCCATAGTGTTACAAGCTCATGTGGGGTTTGTCCCAATTTGGTTGGGACTAAAAGGCTTTGTTGTTGATAGTGTTAGTAACTTTTCGAGGTCTATTATTGTTGCTTCTGCAACGATCTGATGCAAATATAGCATCCATTTCGTATGTTAATATGTTTACTATCTGTCGAAAGTTACAAGTTGAACAAACACATTATTTGGGATATCATGCAGGCAGACAAGCTATTAGCTCCAGAGTTTCAGCCTTCTTTGGAGGCACTTATTCATTTCCTTCCACCTAGTCGGCAACTGTTGATGTTTTCAGCAACCTTTCCTGTAACTGTCAAGGAATTCAAAGAGAAATATCTGCCTAGACCTTATGTGATTAATCTAATGGATGAACTGACCCTGAAAGGAATAACACAATATTATGCTTTTGTTGAAGAAAGGCAGAAAGTTCATTGCCTGAATACACTTTTCTCAAAGGTACAGCAAACATTAACTCTATATTTTCTGTTTCATCCACAGTTGAGTATAAACTGACACATTTCTTTTTTTGTGTGTTTTTGCTAGCTTCAAATTAATCAATCCATTATATTCTGCAACTCTGTTAATAGAGTTGAGCTACTGGCTAAGAAAATAACTGAACTCGGTTATTCATGCTTCTATATCCATGCTAAGATGTTGCAAGACCACAGGAACCGAGTGTTTCATGATTTTCGTAATGGTGCTTGCAGAAACCTTGTGTGCACAGGTCTGTACTGATATTTTCCTATCTTATTAGTCTTTCTCGAATTTAGTAATTACTTTTCAGCATAGTTTCAATTGTGATTTATGAAGGTTTCCTTATAAGAGTGTCACGGCTCTCTTTGTTGCAGATCTGTTTACCAGAGGAATTGATATCCAGGCTGTTAATGTGGTCATTAATTTTGACTTCCCTAAGACATCTGAGACATATTTACACAGGGTACTTTTTTATCTTTTATTCTGTAGAAGCTGTTTGTTTCAGAATTTAAAATTTATGTGTGTTGTCATGTTCCTAGGTTGGCCGTTCTGGGAGATATGGACACCTTGGTTTGGCAGTGAACTTGATCACTTATGAGGACCGTTTCAACTTGTAAGCCTGCATTAATAAAGTGGTCTGTTTCTCTAGTCTTGCATCAAGATTCCTGATCCTTTTTTCCCCTTTGTTTTGCAGGTATAGGATTGAGCAAGAACTTGGAACAGAAATCAAGACAATACCCCCACAGATTGACCTGGCCGTATACTGCCAATGATGAACGTAACAGTTCCAGTAGCATGAAACACTTTTTTTTTGAGAAACTTATCAGGCAAATACATCTGTACATAGCAACCCATCAAGTGAGTTCTCCAACTAAGGCGCCACTATTTCCGAAGCTACCTAAATGGCTACATTCCTATATCGTCACAGATACCAAATTCGCTCCCATTCTTGTAGGGTTTTGTTTTGGCGCCTTGATGACGTTTGTAAGTTTACTTGGATTAGTAGAGGAAGTGTTTCCTGTAGGCACTGATACTAACCCGTTTAGCTGAGGACATGCACACTGGGCTGCTTGGAGGCCCAGAACTATGATGAGACGAGACATTATCTTACCTCACTTGACATTTTCATTCTACTTGTTTGCCAGTCTCAGCTCTAATTGAGTTGCTTGTTATCATTTGATCCATCTTCCGTTTTCGTCTTCTTTCCAAATATTATGTTGCATATGGATGTCTTTCTGTAGCCGTATTCTTTGTTGATTTTGATTTTTGCATGGTGTATGTATACAGTTTGGCTTGAAATTATTTCTGTATCAACTTCTTTGCGAGAATACCCGTCTTTTAGTAGTAGAATCCATACCCATTAGCGGCACTTATACTAGAACTTTGCGTTTAGAAGTATCGCAAGACGACGCCGCGGCCTGCTGGCGTGGCGTCCGGCTGATCCCCCATCAGTCAGTCGCGTAGCTTCTGCAGTTCAGTCGTCCGACGTTGGGGTGTTTGAGCAACTCCAATCAGCCCTTAAATTTTGCTTCCCTGTTCTCTCGAATGAGAGCTCTTTATCCATGTTTCAGCTCAGGAGTATGGTGGAGGATGAGCCATATCAGGAATTTAGCTCAGGTAGGCAGGAGGATGAGCCCTGAGCCCTCCATCCATCGGGAATAGAGAGCTTTTTCATGTGCTCGAATACTCAAGGGCTCAAATAGAGTGTTGGGTGGAGTTGCTCTTACTTCCCATGGAGGGGACCATACGTAGTAGTAGCTCGGACGCTCGGTGTTGTGGCATGCCCGTGCGCCCGCGGTGGAGCCACATAGGGCGTAGCTGTGCTGGCGACAGATGGAAGATGTTTAGCAGTACCCCGGAACCCCGGTACCGGCCGTACCGTACGGCCCGGTACGCAAGCACCACGCGGACCATGCGAGCGTGCCGGTCTGCCGGAGCTGCTGCTACTGCTAGGGCAGCCGATGGAAGGAGCATTTTATCCACGAACCAGCGGTCCTGATACCGAGAACTCTACTGCCGGGAACGGTTTTAAACCTCCGCTCCACTGGGTGGTGTGGCTCTCGCAGCTCCTCTCTAGCAAACGGCAACAAACAAAACCGTTGGCCGATTCGTGAACCGACCTCCGACCACGCTCGTGAACGAATGGTGGTGGTTCAAAGCACGCGGGCCGGGCGCAGCGCACGGAGAAAGGCACGACGCGACCGCGCCTACCACGTTCAAACGGACGCCTTTTTGTCCCTTTTCTCTCGGCCCCCGCCCCGGCCCGCCGGCCGGACCATCCACCACCACGCGCTCACCGCTGCCAGCTTCTGCAGCTCGCACCGGCACCGCTCCCGTGTCCCAACACAGCAGGTGCAGCCGACGCCACCCCGGGCGGTCGCCCTCCCTCCCCCCACCGACACCGCGGGCCCGCACGCGAGGCCCCGCATGTCAGCGTCTTCACTCGGTGTCCACCGCGACGGAGCGAGCAGGTGGCCAACCCGCTGCTGAACTGCGCCTGTGCCTGGCTTTAGCTTAAGCTGCGACCGTTGCCTTTAAGCTCGCACGCGAACCGACCCACACTCTGCGCGAGCCACTGCCACTGCCGCCGCCGCCTTCGGTCTCCGTCTCCACCGGTGCCCTCGTCGTCTCCCCGGCCGCCCTCTCAGCGGCCGCTGCCTCGCCAGATCCCGTCCGGAGAATCCCGTGGCAATCCGGTTGCTTGGGGACGCAGCGACGGAGGGAGGATGGGCAGCGCCAGCGCGTTCGTCATCAGGTGGATCAACTTCTTCACCATGGTCAGTCAGTCGCCTCGGCCCAGCTCCATCCTTCCTTTCTCCAATCAGAGGAGGCGTTTTTCCTTCCGCTCGGCCTTGCTTCAGGCTGATTCTCGATTCCTGGTGTACCGCATTTGCTCGCCATTTTTTTTAGCTGGTCCGTTTTGTTCACAGAAAAAAAAATTAGCTGTCTGGTTACTTCTTCATGCTCGGAGTGAACTGGCAAGCGTTCAGAATTCATTCCTTGTTCAGCAGCAGTTTCAGGTTTCATTATCTCTATCGCGAATTGAGGTTTTTAGCTTCATTTACCCCCGCTCAGCGGCTGATTGCGGAAGTACACTTTCCCCACCATTTTACTTTACCCTCTCTCTGTTTTTTTTTCCCGGAACTTGCACTTTGTCTGAAATTTTTGGGTTGTTCATTTCGTCGTTCTCTATCTGATACTACGTTATATCTTGCATCGCCTCCCAATTCCTCGCGCATTGATGTGGTAATGGTCTTGGCAATTGTTTAACTTCATAGCTCCTAGTTCAAATTAGCATGTGAACATAGGCAAAGAGAGATTGCTTACTAATTTCGTGACAAATAACTTCTCGGTGTAACTTTCTTGCACTGCTGTTCCTCGGACAGATACTGGCACTACTGGTGGTGGGTTTCGGGTTCTGGATGAGCACCCACAACGACGAGTGCAGGCGGTCCTTGACCGTCCCTGTCATTGCTCTCGGTGGAGTCATCTTTCTCATGTGCGCATCTAATCACATCCGCGTCACCAAGCCGTGGTGAATTATGATGCTCTCCATTTAACCGGCTCACTGACAATTTACACTGCAGATCGCTCGTCGGATTCCTTGGTGCTTGGAAGAACGTTTCCTGCTTGCTCTGGACAGTATCCTTCCTTCCCCGTGAACCGGATTAGTAAAGTCACAGTCACATGAGTGGCTACTAATAGTTTTGGTTCCTTATTTTTGGGGTACTTTTGGAGATATCTGTTACCTTGACATGTGGGCGCCTAGTACCTAATCATGCTGTTCGTGGTCTTGGTGGCAATCATGGTGTTCACGGTGCTTGCGTAAGCCCCTCTACTTAATTTGTGTTGCGATGGCATTGACACGGCCTTTATAGCTGATGACTTGGTGGCAATGATGGTGTACTTTTTGTTTGAAAATTTGTTGTCGAGCGCATTCATTATGTGATGGTATTATGTTGTACTCCACCATTTGGACTTTGGAGTTACTCCGAACCAAAGTCCTAATTCTCAATTGACTGTTTGACTTTTTTTTAGCAGTTTGTTTGTAGCTATGAGGAACTCATTCTTGGTTTGTACTGCTGCAGGTTTATCATAACAAACTCTGGAAGTGGTCATATTGTTCCTGGGGCTAGGTATGTGACTATTCGTATTTCATAGAAAGATCATGTCCCTGCGAGTTCCAGCTTTAGAGTGTGGAAACTTACAGATAGTAACCTAAACCCTGCTACATCATAGAAGAAACAAAGAGAATTTTGAGACTTTTCCATAACTTCGAAGTTTTAAAATGCCATCGAAGCGCTAATAGAATAGCCCCTGGATTAGGACAGTATGGTAGGAGAGAGTTTTCCTCTTGTTTCTTGTCTGAAGGTGTCCTGGCCTGCGGCAGCAGCTTTAGACCTTGATTGTAAACATGATCTGTTAGCTTAATTTAAGCTCCCCCTTTCAAAAAGAAAAAGAAATATACTCAAGCATTTCTTATGTTCTATGTAGGTATAAAGAGTATCGTCTTCAGGATTACAGCTCCTGGTTTGTCAAACAGGCATGCTACGTTTCTTTGTTGGAAAACTTATGTTTTCCGCCATGCAATACAACAGATTTGAATATTCCACTGCGCTACCATAACTCTCTTCATTTATTTTTGTTCAAATATACAGCTCGATGACACAGAGAAATGGGCTCGCCTGAAAAGCTGCCTAGTGAAGACAGATGACTGCAACAACTTGTCGAAAAGATACAAGGTGACTACCTGTTCTTCACATCTTTCACTTGATTTACTCTGTTGGAGTTGCTCCCTTTGCAGTCGTTCCTTTCGTTGAGATCTTATTTATAGTCCCCAACTTTATGCAGACTGCAAGAGAATACAAGCTTGCAGACCTTACTCCCATGGAGTCGGGTTGCTGCCGCCCACCAGCAGAGTACGCACCTGAATGTCCACCTCAACCATTCCCTGTGGTCACCGTAATCTCAGACATTGTCATCATCAGTTCATCACATCGCTCTGATTTTCAGGTGCGGGTACCCAGCTCTAAATGCATCCTATTTCGATCTGAGCTATCATCCGGTGAGCACAAACGTCGACTGCAAACTGTACAAGAACGCCCGTTCTGTCAGGTGCTACGACTGCAATTCTTGCAAGTAAGCCACTCAGACATCTCACCCCCTAACTCCGAAGCATCAAAACCATTTCGGGATGCTAATGCGGCGATACTGTCTTCTAGAGCTGGGGTCGCGCAGTACATGAAGACAGAGTGGCGAGTGGTGGCTATCTTCAACGTGATATTGTTCATCATCCTGGTAAGTCCCAGGCGTCGAATTGGACACAAATGCTTATCTACTACCTGTTTTTTTCTCCGTTGTACTACTGATCTGCTCACTGTTTTTTCTCTATATGTGCATTATATTGTGGTTAGTCGTTCGTGTACTTCGTTGGCTGCTGTGCGCGGAGAAACACTGGAGGAAGCGATGCGAAAGGTCGTGGCAGGTGACACAAACACTTCGAGGTGAAGCGCTTGGCCATCCGATGTGGAGTTAGCTTAGTATACCCCTGTAAAATTGTTCCATCAAATTCCTATTCCTTTGATGAAGTACCTGGACCTATCGCTGCCTAGTAATACTGTGTTGCAAATGGGCTGTGAACACGTTTCTTGGTGGTAAAAATCGCTTCTGATCTCATGCCTATTTTCTGGACAGAGTGAAACTCCGGTGTCTGACACTTATTACAATAATCATGAAAAGTACGGTTCCTGTGGCAGTATGAAGCAAGCTCAACGGACCTCAAAATTGAGCGTTCCCTGGTGACGAAATCATGTCTAAGGAAATGAATGTGGCCATACAATAGCCATATGCGTGGGCATCAATCTCCGCCGAATTGCTTTCTAAATGAGCTAATTTATAAATGGTTAACAAAAATTTGTCAAAATAAATGTCTTAAGTCTGATATATTCCTTCAATGGAACATCGGGAACATCTGCTTCTGTGCAGGTCGTGAGATTTTCGGGTTTATTTGTCGCTCACAAGGGGGCTGTAAATAGGGTACCACATTTTCCGAGCGACGTAGTCCACTGCTTCGGACTGCAACACACGAGGAACATATTTTAGACACTGCAGTAGGTTTTATAAGTTTTAGCAATAGGAATATGACATTTTTTTCCCTATGTAGCGCTGTACCTCTGACATGCTCCCAAGCTCCCTAGGACCCACATCGCAACACCCCTCAGCCAGGTCTTCAGCAACAGCAGCACGGACGACTGCAGCGCCGACTTGTGCGGTGATGTGCCTAATACTGCAGGGTTTGGCGGGTGTTATTGGACCATCAGTTGAAATGAAAATGGAAGATAGCGCTTGCATGTGGTGTGGTAAGTGGTAACAGCATTCGGTGGATGTTGAATCCAGCGCAGAGCAGAGCTCACCTGGAGACTGAAGGAAAGAGGATTCCTTTCCGAATTTCATCATCTGTGATGTATGATGCCAGGCTGCATTGCAAAATAAATAGATGCTTATCTAATTTTTGTGATCCTCTCCGGAAGAACAGCAAACAGAATGACTCAAGTGGAGACAACTTTAGTGTAGTTGATATCTTATGCCAATGGAAATTCAGCAAAGCAAGATACAGGGGCACCTAATCAGGTGGGCCAACCATATAATTTTATCAAGCAAAGGCTTACCACTCAGCTGCTGCTTGAAGCATGCCGTCTGAAATATGCCTGGCACCTGAAAGAAGGGCACCTAAACCAATCCTGATTTTTTGAAAAAACTTCTATCAGTAAAACACAAAAGCCAAATACTAGGAAAGGTGAAAGGTTGTCATACCCAGGAAATAGATACATGTTGTTTGCTTGATTAGCATAACCGGTTTTACCATTTCCTAAGAAATCAAGACCCCAGCATTAGCCATCATCTACTAGAAAGTATTGCTAGCAAACAATGTAAAAGATAGCAAGGAAGGAATTACCTAAAGAAACATCACTAAAAGGGCTTCCACTAGCAAATATCGCATTCTCACCAACATGTTTGAATACATCATCAGGAGTGCATTCAGCTGTAATGTAATAAAAAGAGAAGATCAAATTAGTGTTTCATCTTTGGGTTCCCCTCTCTCTCTAAAAAAAAAATAGCATTTCACCATAGGGTGTCCTCAAACTATCTGTAGGTGTCTGTGCACAAACCTTTAGTAGTAGGGTTGGACATTGCAAAAACTGCAGGACGAGGGGAATCGGATTCTTTCATAGCTTTGAGAACCTGGAGATGTATGGATTACCACTCAATTGTAAAAGCATGACCACTTGGAGTATGATTTGACATTTCCAATACGGTCTTATTTACAAAGACAAGGAATGCAGCTTTGATGCTCAACATTCATCAGTATGTACAATTAAGCAATTTAATTAGGACTCTGCTGCATAAGGAAATTTCATAGGAAAAAAAAAATTCCAGTACTTCTCTTAAGTGGTGATGGTGCCCAACAGGCCAACAAGCAACATTACTAAACAAGGCTAGACTAGATTAGGCAAGTACACAACTAGCAACAGCCAACCCACTATTTCAGTTCTGCAGCTCTGGACTGTCAACCAAAGTCCTTGATTGGCCACAATGATTGATAGTGTCCTCACTACTGAGGCCTGAGAAATCTGTCTATACGAGAAAGGTAATACTGACTGTCGTCATCCATGAGATCATTCATGAATCATGTACATGTTCAATCATTCTTATCTATAAGATTAACCAGATCATTTTTAGGATCATATGTTCACCCATAAGGCAGCACTTGATCCAGTCATCCACTGGCATCATAAGAATGCATTCATATGTACCAAAGTTTTTGGTGGTGGGAATATTTTCGAAATTCAGAAAAAAAGAAACTATGATCCCAGTCCTCGACGAAACTTAAATGGATAAATTAGTGCTAACAACGAGCACCGACTGAGGACTACTAAATCAGGACTGGTAAGATAGGAGAAAAAGCATTCAAACTTATTGCAAATCCTGAAATGAGTAATTCTTGGATTCTTATGTTTACCTCCTCGTTAAATATGCCCCCAACTCCAGATAGTCCTAAAAGCACATGAGGCTTAACTTTCTTGACCTGACGATTAGTATCAAACTGAATTAGCCCAAACACAGAAGCATTGAAAGTACTATAGTACTATATAATAGTACTGTCTAAGCTGCAACAGCTGAAAATGTGATTGTAGAAATCATATTATCATACCACTTCAACAAGACTAGCCCCCTCAGGGAGATCTGGTACCTCATCAGGACCAAAACCTCTGGCAAAACGTGCCACTGCAGAATCCAGATCCTTCCTAGCTTTCGTAATAAGGCCCTACAAGTACGGCACAACAAGAGCGCATAATTTATCAGCCTTTGCCATTTAGTTTGAACGCGTATAAAGGACATTTGTTTAGTGTAAAAAGCAGGTAAAAATATATTTGAAAGTTGACTTACATCTTTGTCCAGAACCCAGAATTGATTATGCCCTTCCCCGGTTCTGTGGATCCCAGGCATCCTTAACATTGCCTGTTTAGCCATGCTAAGCACACCTATCCCAGCACTGGATTCTAAAGAGGAATTAGAATGTACGAACCACATTTTTGACAATGAACATGCCATATAAAAAAGACTGAGGAAATTCTACAAAAATGTCAAACATATCAGATACCTTCCAGCTCCCACAACAACTATCTTTTGATTCGTAAAATCCTGGAGAGGACGGCCCTGTGCTCTAACAGCACCGAGTAGGCCAGCTAGAGCAACTCCAGCTGTCCCCTATTTTAAATAGGATAAGCCCATCAAACAATAATATATAAAACTGGACGAAAAGAACTTTGCAGAATAAATTACATAATAATAGTTTGAGAATCAAAATACCTGTACATCATCATTGAACATGCAAAATCGGTTCCGATACCTCTGAAGAGTCCCAAAGGCCCATTTCATTTGGAAGTCTTCGAACTGTGATTTTATCACTTCAGAAAGGGAGCAGTATTTTGAGCGAAAATAGTAGGGGAAGCCCCTAGTGTGGTAAATATTTATTTATACAAGAAAAGCAAAGAAGCAAACAGGTCTCTCTTGAGATAATAAAAGAAGAGCTAAAGGGAAGGCCAAGAAGACCCAGTTCTCTCCAGGAGAGATGAAAGCGGAAAAAGCAGACAGGAAGAACAACTAACAAGTGATCGGAGCCAAGAGGAAAAGAACAATTCTAACTCAGTGAAACGGAGCAATCTTCAACAAGCACGTAGAGGATGGCCTTAAAGCACACATACCTGAACAACTGCTTTAGGCCAACGTGCATGGACAGCCTCCATGAATTCATCTACAACAGCTAAGTATTCTTCTCCTTCCAGCCGAGGTTGCCTCAGTCCTAAATCTAAGTAAAATTAACTGGATAAGGTATGCAGCCATGGATTTATTTACAAGCAAATACCTCTTATTTTTTTCCTAAACAAACAGCATTCAGACTTTTCATTTAATCAAAGAAATGGTTATAAAAACGTTTTAAAAATAATGTCACAACAAAAACATTTCAGGAATTCGGTTTAATGTATCTCACGCACATAGCTTGTCCTCCAGAAGCTTTTGATTATTTGTTCCCACATCAAGCATTATTGGAAGAACCTGCAAGTATAAACGTATTCTCAGAGATCAGGAAAATATGAAAAAGGTATGCCATAAAGGGCAGGCTATTGAATATAACTGGTGCCTAGTTCGCCGTGTTCTATAAAGTAAACATAAGTAATTTATATGTAACTGATGTCATGCCAGACAGGTATCAGGATGTTCTATACCTTTTGTGGGTTAATACCAGCAGCTGCAACATAAACATCCAGTTTACCAATAGGTATGCCTATGCCCTGAACACCAAGGTCACCTAAGCCTAGAATGCGACTCCCATCAGTCACAACTATCATGTCAACCTGAAAAAAGTGTTCAACCACTTACACGAAGGCACAGCCAGAATTGGAAGAACTCATGCTGCATATTGACATGTCATTTCCATGGTCTCTAAACATAAACACATTAAGCATAACAAAGTTTAACATGAAAATTAATAGTATGTTTAAATGCAAATTACTGTGTGATTGCCATTATGCATTGGCTGATGACATATTGAAATATATTAGCATGCAGTACAGCTCTAGGAAACCACTAGCATCAATCAAATGTTATGATTCGGTTTCAGATATTATTAGTTGAATCGATACTCAAATAATGTCAACCTTAATCTCTTTACTAGAGGCACTACTTTATGAGGTGCATTCAGACAGCAGTTTCAGATATACCTTCTCTGCTGGCCAGTTGTAAATCATCGACATCATCTCCCCCTTATCCTTTGCACTGAAATACATCCCACGGGGTCGTCTGAACAGACCACTGTAATTTTCACAGACCAAGCCGACAGTGGGGGTGTATATTATCGGTGCAAAATCCTTGATATTGTCAATTAGCACCTGGCAAAAAGAGCACATATTACCATATAAACACTCAAAATACAGGTCAATCGCCAATTAGCCATTGTATCATTTTTTTTTCCAAACACGATACTGCAACACTAAGGGCTCACCCTGTAGTACAACGTCTCGTTCCGGTCGTGCAGCCTATTGAGGATCCTCCATTTGGCCAGCGCGACGATGGAGTCTGGCTCGCCCCGCGTGTTGTGCTCCAGCGACCGGAAAGAGTTTACTGCAACGAAGCAAGCACGCGCATATAAGTCATAACGCGTCGCATGAGCAACGACAGATTCCGTGATCCCGCAACCCATTCGGCGCGCCGCAAACGCGACGAATAAGGAAACACAGACG